GAAGCCTGCTTCTCCCTCTCCCACTCCCCCTGCTTGTGTTCCCTCTCTCACTGTGTCTCTCTGTCAAATAAATAAATAAAAATCTTTAAAAAAAAAAAGAGTATTAATTAGCAAAAAGTTCTAGGTTTGCCTGAGAAAAAAGATGTGGTACCCAAGGAAGAAATGAAGATTACTTTAGTCCTTACTTTCTTTAATGTATTGTGTATGAAAATACTTTTCCACATCACCCAATCTGGTTAACATAAAAAATAAACAACCAATAACAGTATAATTATCTTGCTTTAAATGACTTTTTTTAACAGACTATCAGTGAGCATTATAAATATAGTAGGCACTTAATAAATGTAGATGATTCCGAAAGAGTATCTTCTACAATTTAAATTATGCTTAAAAAAAAAAAAACAAAAACCTGTGTTTTAAAAAAAATAATCATTATAAACAATAAAATCTTTCCTCTCTTTCCCCTTATCTCAGTTTATTCCCTCTACCCACTTTATTTTCATATTGGTATGTAAAATTCTTGCCCCTAATAGATGAGTTGATGTTCATTTATTTGAGCATACATATATTGAGACCCTCTGGAAAAAAGATACTGATACTTGACACAGTCACAAATAAAAAGAGTGACTTATTTTTTTCTTCCCAAAACTTTCAATTCTGAAAGAGTAGCATTTTCAGAAGTTTCAGCAAACAATTAACATTTTGACAGGAGTAAGTAATAAGGTGAAGGCTCCTTCTTATTTTGTGCCTTTGTTATATGGAAAATAGCCATCTTCTCCCTGGTTGGGCATTAGGGTTATTGCTAGCCTTAGGAATTGCTACTTTTCCTACCTCACCAAAACACTCATCTAATCAAAAAATGTCTTTAATACAACTCACCAAAGGTACATTTTAATTTTATTAAAGATAGTTACTGGGAAAGGTCAGGAGTTTAAAGGCTAAATCAAAGAAAGAGGTATATGAGTACTACTAAAAAAAAAATAATTTCACAGTAAAGATAAAAAACATACACCCTTAATTCATCTCTGGTTTCTGAAAGTTTGGCACAGATATCTTCTTCTGTGTCGAAGGTTTAAATAGCTATCACAGCATTTCATAAATTTAAACTTGAATTGAAAAGCTTTTCTTGTCTCCGAAAGAAAAATAGTCACATATTACTTACATAGTAATTACAGGCTATGCAGCTGCCCTACAAAGCTTTACTATAAATGTGTTAAGCATGAACCACTACACAAACCTTATTCAAATTGCATTAAATGTTAAGCCAAAGAAATGTCATCCTCCACACCACTTCACACAATTGCTTCACAAGAACAATAGCCATCTCCCTAGTCTGAGACTTAAATAACGTAATAGAATCAATGTTGTTGATTTAGGCTATGTTTGGTTAAAAGTCATTACTGTTATTCCTCACCAAGTAAAGAGGTCTATTTCTCCCTCATTATGCATAAGTGAAGCTTATGCTAATGCATACAAATCTAAGAATGAATAAGCTTCTTTGAAATACCATTTAAAGATTGAGAATTCAAGAAAAAGTACATGGCTTCTATCATGATAAAAATATTGACCTCAATTTCTATACTGCACTGATCCTTACTTTAAGCCTTTCTAACATACAGCTTAAAGCTTACACAGCATTTCCATTTGCTTAATACTTTAAAAATATTTAGCTGGTCACACAAAGCACTGTAGGAGTATCATGCCAGTAATAGAAAAATAAAGAGGCCAGAAACCTATGACAATGTTTTAGGGAAAGTTAGTGGAGGTAAGATTTCTCAAAATTTCAACCTTGTCTTTAGAGGCCTTTCTATTATCCATTCTAAACATGTAATATTCATACTGTTCTTTGATTTTTATTATTTGAACTCTGAAGCCAATGAATTTGGTAAGATTGGAGAATATCGTGGCAACTAAAGGTGTAAGGCTTATGATCTAACACCTAGAGAAATCTGGGAAATCAAACTGGCCTTGATTAAGTTTTATTTTACCGTAATTCAAAGACATAGACCCATTAAAATGCAACACACTCGTACAACTTTCCATTTTTGAAACGTTTGTGAACTGGATCTTGTTTAATGATTAAAAATGGCAGGATCATAAGGGATGTTCTATGGATATCGTGGAACCTCTGATATCATGTGACAAAAGGGCATTCTTTGTGGTTTTCTTCCCTAACACCCCACAAAATCCAGTCTAATCATGAGAAAACATGAAACAAATTCAAGTTTGGGGAACATTCTATAGGCTACCTGGCCAGTACCCCTTAAGACTGTCAAGATCATAAAAACAATGAAATTTTGAGGAAAAACAATGAAAGATGGAGGAAAGATAGAGAAAACTGGGGAAACATGAAAAGTAAATGCAATATTCTATAATATCCCAACTAAATACACTAGATTGGATCCTGGAGCAGAAGGAAGACATTAATGGAAAACCAGGTGAAATCGAAAGAATGTATAAACTTTAATCATTATGTATTAGCATTTGTTCATTAGGAATGGCAAATGTTTCATCATAATGTAAGATGTTAACAACAGGGAAAACTGAGTATCAGGTATATGGGAATTCTCTGTACTATCTTTGTAACTTTTCTGTAAAGCCAAAAATAGTCCAAAATAAAAGTCTGATTGTTTGTTTTTAAAAAATGGACAAGGCTGGGGCGCCTGGGTGGTTCAGTCAGCTAAGCATCTGCCTTCGGGTCAGGTTATAATCCTGGGATCCTGGGATGGAGCCAGCGTCTGGCTCCCTGCTCAGCAGGGAGTCTGCTTCTCCTTCTCTCTCTGCCCCTCCCCCTGCTCCTGCTTTCTCTCTCTGTGTCTCTCAAATAATTAAATAAAATCTTTAAAAAAATGAACAAGGCTATTTACTCCCAGTAACTGAAAATTAACCTTCATCTATACTAGGCCAAATTTTACTATATAATTCATCTCTCAATCTTACATCAACATTTTAAAATTACACATAAAGTGCTCTCAAACTTGAGGAAAATTATTAACTATACATAGAGGATAGACACTAATAACTCAGCTCCATAAACTCTTCTTGCTTTTTAACCTGCTTCTCCACTGAGAAGGCTTGAGGAACCTAACATTCACAAACTCCTGTAACAACACTCCTTTAAAACTAGATGTCTAACAGCAAAGTGACAAAGGAAACAGGCTATTATGATGATGAAAAACTAACCAAATTAAAAGTTTCACTTGTTTTATTCCTATAGATTGCAAAGAATCTCTCACTGACTATTTAAAACGTTTGGTCCATTTCAGGCCAGTGCTGTTGATGATACAACTTTAGAAAATATAGTATCAGGGGCTTAGGGATAAATAAATCAAGATTTTAAAATGAATGCATACATTCAGAAAAGTATCCATAGCAGTTGCTAGTGAGAGCAGATAAAAGGCAACTGATATCTGTGAAAGCATGTATAATTTCAGTTGAATGAAACCTAATTTCTTTCTTTCTTTTTTTAAAGAAAAATTACAAAAAAGGCAAAATGTGAAATCTTACGCAGATGATGATTGTAGTAGGTGTGATGGTATAGTTTCAGAAGGTAAGACTAGGAGGAAGACAAAACAAATCTTAGATCCCAGAGTCCTGGGATCAAGAGCCCCGTGTTGGGCTCCCTACTCAGTGGGGAGCCTGCTTCTGTCCCTCCCCTCTGCTCATGTTCTCTCTCTCTCTGTGTATGTCTTAAATAAATAAAATCTTTTTTAAAAAGCTAGACTTGCTCATTATATAGAAAAAAAAAACACTTGAATGATTCATTTGGTCATAAAGGGCAAGGTCTTAGAAAGATTTAGACAACAAAAAAAATATTCTTATAAAAGAATGACAAGCATTTTTGGACTTCCCCTAGAGAGTTGACTGACTGGGTTTGGGGATTTGGTGATAGGAAGACTAGAAAAGTGATGGAGGAAAAGATCTCCATGAAGAGATCAAGATTGAGAAAGTGACAAACGGTCCCTAAGTGACAAATTCCCTGTCTGGATAGTGATGTCAAGTATTTGCTGCTTTTTCAGCCTTGTGTTGCACGAAACTTCTGCTTTACTCCAGACCTTAGAGTCAGCTATGTGCAGCAGCCTTTGCTTAGTGATGCTCTGGACAACCAAGCAAGGCAGACAGTATCCAGTGTGTGGGGAAGTATCACACAACAGAGTAGTAGTTGGAGGCAACTGGGCTAGGTAGTCAGAGTTCACCACGAGCAGAATGGCAGACCTGGAAGGGGCCACCTCAGGCATCTTTGATAGTTGGGGATAGTAGATGGAGTGGAGGATCGGCATTTATGTGAAAATTCCATGAAAGAGTGACCTTAAAAGCCTGGAGGACTTCAGTATATTTAATAGCAGCTACGTGGCTTGCATATGTAAAAATCATGTTTGGAAATAATACACTGAGATATAAGAGTGTTTGGTGGTACAATCGGGATGTCTTTTTTTCTAATTATTCAATGATTATCTAACAATTTTCCACCCATATGATGTTCTTACCTTCCTCTTGGCAAGTCTGCATCATCCTTTTTCCACCGCACAGTTGGTTGAGGATCTCCCTGGACCTGACAACGAAATTCTACAGCTTCTTCCTCCAGCACCACCTGGTTAATTGGCCTCCTGAGAAATGTGGGTCGTTCTTAGGAAGAAAAAAAAAAGCAACAATGGTAAAATGAAATGAATGTTGTGCATGTTTTAAGTATGTTATAGAAAAGAACGTAACTCCGTATCTCAACTATGTCTTGATAAGACCTTATGAATCCAATGTAATTGAATAAAATAAAATATTTTGGAATACAGAAGTTACCTATGGTTTGTATATAACACTATACAATCTTTTGGAAAATACTAAATTGATTTTTCGATGAATTCCTGAGCTAAATCATGTAAATCCTGTCATAAAAAATCTGAAGACTGAATTCCACAGAAAGAAGGAAAGAGGTAAAAATGATTAATTTAATCTATCACAATGGCTGAGCGGGAGAATTAGAAGTTGAGACCAATGGAAAATACCAAAAAGGAAACTAATTCTAATTGTCCATCAAGAATGTTAGCGTTAATTGGAGTTAAAATAAAATCTAAAAAAAAGAAAAAAATAATGCGAGAGAAACAAAAAAGTTGTGCTCTCACATATCAGTGTTACCTAAATTTTCCCACATAAGCTATCATTTCACGAGGACCCAATACTTCCATGAATGTTTTCACTTCATGTATGGACAGCTCCCTCTCTGATTTATTTTTTCTTAAATAAAAAAGCTGTCAATCTGATTTTTTTTCTTAAGTAAAAAACACTGTTATTTTTAATTATTGTAAACTATTTAGTGTCATATATAATTTTCTAGGGCCACTTTCAATTATCTTCTTAGTGTTCCAGAATTTTTTTTACTTAACTTTTATGTTTATTTCTCTAGTATTCTGTTTTCATTTTCCCACCCTTTATTTTTGTTGTTACTTTGCACCTATCCTCCTTACTCGCCATTTCAGCACCCCTCTACATAACGCTAGGAAACAATCAATCCCTGTCCGTAAAAATCTTACCATCTCAGAGAAATATAAAACAAACAGTTGTTTTACAAATCTCTACACACTTTAACTTCTTGTCTAGTTTCTTCCCTTTTTTAATAATGGAAACATTACCATTTAAGTTTTTATTAGCACATGTCTTCAAATCATAGGCAGTCCAATAGTGCTACTTACTGAAGTAGAAAGAGAAGTCAGGGAAAAGAAAGATGAAATCCACTGGGAATTGACACAATTTATCTGGCCATATGGCCATATTTAGTCACTTAAGACTTTAGTTTCAAATCCAATTCAAAAATGTCAAACAAGTGGTACAAAACTGAAACATATTTAGCTAGAAACCTTTAAATAAATCACTTCAAATAGCATATATTAAGAGTATAGGATGGAAGTATATAATTTTATTGTCTAAATAGAGATCTATATTTATAAAATAAATGTGTGAGTTGCAAGAGACATTTTGTATTACAGTAAAGTCAACAATCATTGGCATTCAGAAGGAAGACAACTCCATCCCTCCACAGTGAAGTTGACAGTATGGATCAAAATTTTCTCTAAAATTTTAATTTACTGCATATGCTTCCGTATCTGCACTCTGAGACCTCAAAATCCCAAGCTGTAAAACAGGCAAATAGAACTTTTCATGGAGAGCTTTTTTAATGCAGAATTTAGAAATAATCCATAAAAACTTGGAGCGGAAAAAAAAAGTTTGCTCCTAAAGATTTTAGGTAGTCAGAATCAATTAGCAGCTAAGTGCCCCCTCCTCCAAAGACAGCAGAATAAATCTGCATGTTGGATGGAATGATTTAGTATTACCCTTTTTTTTTAAGATTTCATTTATTTATTTGAGAGGGAGAGAGAGAGGAGAGCACGAGTGGGGGAGGAGCAGAGGAGAGGGACAGCAGACTCCACACTGAGCATGGAGACTGAACTGGGGCTCGATCCCACAGACAAAAGACCTGAGACAAAATCAAGAGTCGATTCCTCAACCAACTGAACCACACAGGTGCCCCGATTTAGTATTATCCTTTTGAACTCTGGATACTATGTGCTCCAAACAACTATTTTAGCACTGGCTGGTTGATATTGAGCCATTGTTTCTGGCATCAAATAGGTAACAGGATCAGTACAATATCTCTGTATGAGTGCTTGGAATGCTAATAGCACAAATGAATCATTAGCACAGAAAGCAGGATTAACTTTTTCTTTCCAATCACTTGGGGACGTTCATCCAATTCATCTAAAAGCTGCGATAACCCGAAGTTAAAAGAGAGCTAAGCCACTGCTAATATGGCTTGAGATTGAGAAATCATCTGTCAGTAGACTCTTGCTGCCCACTTGGATTTTAATGGGGGTGTTGTGCTACAACCTAGTGTATAGAGAGAAGTCATTCCCTCTATCGCTCATTCATTTCGCACATGTTAACACAGCTTTTCCTAAGTCAGGCTTTGAGCTTGGTAGCTGGCGAACAGCCAGCAGCTTGGTTTCATCAGAAAAGTGGTAGGAGATGAAGCTAGTCAGATAGGGAATGGCAAGACCATGAAGGGCCTTACAGGCCATGTCTAGGAATATGAGTTCTGCCCTGAGAGTGAAAGAGAGCTCCTGAAGGATTTTAAATAAAGAAGCAACATTTTTAATAACATGTGGAAAAGACTGTGTTGGCAGATCTGTGAAAGATGAGCTAGAAGAGAAACATGAAGCAGTGAATTAGGTCAAATGGTTTTTGTAAGAAATTATTTCAGCTTCGACTGATACAGTGGTTCTCTGGATATGGAAAAGGGAAATTGGAGGGGGGGACGAACCATGAGAGACGATGGACTCTGAGAAACAAACTGA